CCGAGAGCGCCCGCCAGCCAAACAGCAGAAGGTGCATAGCTCGCGAGAGCAAATGCAAAACACCAAAACGACCTTGACACATCATGCGATGGCCACACGTTCAATGTTTGAAGGCAAGGCCTGATGAGTCACGCTGGACGCTCCAAAGAATTGGCCGAGAGCGCGGGCAGTGGAGAATCCTGTGTGGACCTGCGATAAAAGTGTCAGCGCAAGGCCAACCGGAGGAGCGCTACAATAGTTCTACTTAGGTAAAACAATTACCAGCTTATTACATTTCCTTCTATTTCTTCATATTTTCTGCACGCAAACAGCCCCTAGTTCACCTCACTCATATAATTCACATTTGCAAAAACTTCAGTAAGGAAACTGTGTGTGGGGATTTGTTTTAAGGCGGGCTTGCAAGACTGTCTTAACCGAAGGTAGTATTGACTGCAAAAGTAAAAGATTGTTTTAGGTTTTTTCCTGCCATCCGTCCTGAACATTGTATTGGTAGCGGCAGTTTCCAACTGGCCTTCCCATATCGCTGATGTTAACTCTGCAGTTTTCAGTTGTGAAAATTAAATGTTTTTGCGATTTTTGGATATGAATAGGGAGCTGAAGGGCGAAAGCCTTCTTTCCTCAATTAAGTGACTTACAGTGACTTGAATGAAAACAGTTATAAGCAGAAGTGGATTATCTGCACCTGGAATGAGTGCAGGCGAGGGCTACGAAGACGTTCAAAAACCTTAGTCACCTGCCTTAAAAAATTATTCGCTGAACTAGATTTGTTTTCTGTCGATTGGAAGCAACTATGCGGTGACATCATTCAGACCTACCGAATTGTCAGCGGCTTTAAGAGCGCCCAGAATTTGATGAGTTCTTTGAATTGGTTGGGTGGCCATCTGTGTGTGGATTCCTTTAAATTGAAGAGGTAGTTGGCCCATACGTGCCTTTGACGGAACGCCTTATAGCCGAAGGCAATTGGAGCGTGAAACGGACTCCTTCACGAAGTGGCCCCTTCGAAAACTGTAGCAACATTTAAATGCAAACTCGATTCTCGTTTGTTGAGAAACTTTTCTAAATATAATGAAAATTGTCTCAGTAGCGGCAGTTATCGGCTGCCTTACATATATCGTTGAAGTTAACGGTATGATTGTCATCTGTGATGTTGTTGCGATTTTCGGATATGAATGGTGAAGTCAAGAGTGAATTCCTTCCTTCCTCAATACCGTGGCTAAGACTGAGTTATCTGTTTGAACTTTTAAATATTTGTAACTTAAATCCGCCGACTTCTCTGAGGCAGCTCGATCACTCTTGGCGCGCCAGTCATCGAAACATATTTTTTATTACTTCTTCTGGTATACACAGTTAGATATCGCCAGTCGTTTTAACAAAGCACCACAACAGTCTGTAATAACTTACCCGGATATGTCAAAATTGAGCAAAGCTATCCTTTGCTTGAGAAAGATATCAGAAGCTTTCTGCATTCACGATACCCTTCACGAATTTCGGACCCAGACTCGGTGGAATATCTCTTCCGCTCTGATGGCGTTCGTGGACGCTAAACTCTGTGTCACGCTTCATGCCGAGGGCAATGAAGTTGAGTCTGCAGCCCGCAATCAGATAATTCTTCTGCTGACAGCGAACAGCCGTTCTCTAACAATGTTTATATGGTGCGAAATACCGGATCCGTAACACCGAATGCAGACCGACGACACCACGCACCTGTGCTAACACTTCTTTGCCCCGAACGTCAAAAATTCAAAAAACTGCAGTTTTTCTCTTGAATAACACTAGAGAGAATGATCCTAAGTTTTTTTTACTCTCAGCTCGATTCTCTACGGTGAATCACTTTTGACCTGTAAAATGGCAACGAATAAATAAAGGAAAGGCCATAAATAGTCTGGGAAACCAAAAGAACATTCAAGAACACAAATTATTCTGCAAAATCTGCAGTTACTCAGGACCATCCAAGAACTATAAAGGGTTCAGACACTCCTGAATATTTTGCATACATTCTGTACATTTTGAAAGTATCTTCAAGCATAAGGCTTATTCTTTGATCATTTTCTTTTGAATAGTGGCTAAAATTTACACAGGTTCTTCTGATTTCAGCGGTCATAAACCATAGTAACCTCGCAGTATTAACATGACTAGAAAAAGCACCTTGTGTGAAGAAACGCGTGCCCCACTCTATAACCGGATAGAAAAACCTAGATGTATTTAGAGAAACGTAGCGGGCTGTTAATGTATACTGCAAAAATTCAAAAACCTGGATGATAAGATTAAATAAATAGAGTTATTGGTCCAGTCACCCATGCAGTTTCCAAAAGAACAAGGAAAGCTGAAGTGGAAAAAAAAGACGGAGGCGCGAAAGCAGCGTGGAGAGGATGCTTTAGTAAGATGGCTCAGTACTGAGTATGTTACAGTATATTTAGGGCATAGGACTGTCTTTAGAGGTCATATTTGCGCGAGCAGTATAAGTTTCCTCAATTTGACGAAACCATTTTCCTGTCGAATATTTGCGCAGTGGTTCCGATTTTTTTTAAATATCGCTTTCAGTACGTGTGACCTGGTTAGAAACAAGATAAAAATCTTGTTGAATGACAAATATATGCTAGTGATTAGAGGGCCTGTCCTGGTAAAAAGATCCTCACGATATATCATATAAGCGTTTAGGCCGTGATTCGGACAGAATGCATAAGAGACATAATGCTCCAGCCTACGGCACCACAACCACAAGAAAGTTCGTCAATTCAAGCAAACAAAGTGCCTTTGGTATAAGTTTAACTAGTAACTTGCAACTTTCTAACACAAAATCAACAAGATTTATTTGGGCCCTTGATTATGGATAAAATGTACTATTTTACTTGTCTGACTTACCTTGATTTGTCCTGTCAACATTTACACCGCCCTTTTTGGTTTAGTCTGTAGCTTTCCCTCTGAGTAACTTCAGAGTGACGTATCTAGATCAAGGGATTTTTGCAAGCATTTAGGGGTACGTACACGCTCAATTTCTCTATAAAAGTGTACCCGCAAATAAAGCCCGCTAATTCACCACCATTTTTAAACAGAGGATTCTAGGCTGTTAAATATAAGACATCACGTGTCGCGCTCTGGTAGATTAGTCTTTGACGTTTTTTGAATTCTTTTGCAAACAGACATCCCTGTTAAATTATTATGCGGTTTACTGTCGTTGGAAGTGTCTAGTGAACTCATATAACTTGCCGTGATTCTTCTGTTCACACGCATGCATGTCTACACATGCGTGGACAGTAGACTTATACCATATATAGGGTTATGGCCATATGGCCACGTAGACCTTTGAAACTTCGTTTTCCTAATTTCTTACAAGTAATGTGTCATCCACATCTGCATTTTATCTTTTTTCTTTCCTTTATGTATCCTAGCGTTTTAGGATAACCTTCACTTTCAATATTTTGGTTTCGTATCCTGCGTCAATAATACAGTGATGAGTTCTAAAAAGCAATCGAAAAAGTCAACAGCAAGCAGACAAATTGAAACTGATATGAAGGAAAGAAAGAATTTAAAGATCTTGCATTCTCCTCTGAAGACCTCTTTATTTTTCTTCCGAGAGTGCCTGTATCAGTTGTCATGTCTGGCATCCAATCTTTCTCGGCACAAAATATCTGGGTTACTCATAACCCTCATTATTTTAGGCCTGTTTGTGCTGAGAAACATCGATGGCTCCCATAAAGTGGTAGGTGGCATTGTTCAGCATACATTTTGAAGTCTCTTATGTTCGCGGAAAAGAAGCTGCTCTGGTGGTCGTGGTGGGTTTTGCTTGGGTTCCTTTCCTCCTGCGGCTTCGGATCAGGACTGCATACATTTGTTTTATATCTGGTTGGTTGTTTCCTGTATGCTCTTTATGACTAGGGTCCCTTTATCGCCCAAGTCACAATGAGTGCCTACATCTGCAAAAGCCTTAATTTTCCTGAACCGCCTTACCCTGAGAAAATTGTCTGCCCAGAACAAGGAAGTCCAAATGAAGTTGTTACCTTTTTCAATATTGTACGGAAAGTACAGGTGGAATCC